AGGCACAGGGTTGCAATTTCCCGGTACGCAAAGACGTACCGAGAGGAAGGCCGTAACGTGTTCCGTGTGCTGGTTAGGGCAAGCAGTAACGGCCGTAAGTTACCACAGAGGATATCTGTTCCTTAAATACAGGGGAAAAAAGTCTTTTGAACCATAATTACAGTGAAATGCTGGAATAGCTTGTCTGTGGATGGTGTGGAATCTGCAGCATCAAGACCTTTAGGAAAAGGTTAAAAAAACCTTTAGCAACATGTTGAGCTGAGCTTGTGTCGGTGTGGCGCCGAGGCGCTGCCTGGTCTCCCGGGCTCTCTCCCACCCCGGTGCCTCTGGCGGGAATGGCTTCGCTGCCTGTGCCCAGCTCCAAGTGCTCAGCAGGTTCACTTAACCCCAGCAGCGGCTGGCCGCCGCTAAGTGCTGGTCGCAAGTGTACCCGGTGAGTCCGGGTGGAAATGGGCGTGGGCTGAAGACAATCCCAAAGTGGCCTCCCGGCTACTTCCACTGACAGACCGAAATAGGTGAAATTTCTGACAGTGCAAGCCTGTGGTAGGGGTTTCTCTCATTCTGTAACAGTAGCAGGAAAAGACAAGGCTCGTATTTTGTTGCAATGCAGCGGTAAGTGTAGCGTGGTCTCTTCAAACTCTATTGAGCTCAGGAACCTGTTCTCAAAGCCCTGAGGAAGTAGGGTGGCTGTTGGTAACTGTTACTCAGTGTTTGTACAGCTTAGCTGCGAGGGAGTGAGGCCGAGGGTGCGCTGCAAGTGTAATACAGTCACAGAAACCTCAGCAGTTCTTGTACTCCATAATACAGAATTTAAATACTGATGTATTTGAGTATTCTGCACGATTCTCTTGGAGCTGGGAGGAGAGACTCAAAAGCTTTAGCTTTGACCATGTGAATTCCAAGAAAAACATGCTCACCCCGATGCATTGCACGGAGCACTGTCACTGTCACCAAATGCTTGGTTGGCTGAGTGGCGTGTGCCTGGGAATGATCCGTGTACTGTTTGTTTATCCTCACATGTGCTCCTGCAGGCCTCGGAAGGATCAAAGTGAGCCCAGGTCTGCCTGTGGAGACCACGGTCGCAAGCGGCAGCGTGCTGTTAAAACTTATTTGGCGTGCTGCTTTACGCTTGTCCCTCGGGGCGTTTCTTGCTGACTTTCCGTACCGAGATGCGTATCTCTTCCTTGACAGAAGAAACCATATACAACTCAGTGAGCCTTGGCTTTGCCTTGTGGGCTGTACTCTGCTTGTCTTATGACTGGGACCTTCTGGGGTCAGCGGCATTTTGCTTGGCCTTAAATTACAAGCAAATGGAACTCTACCACTCTCTGCCCTTTTTTTGCTATTTACTTGGAAAATGCTTCAAGAAGGGACTGAAAGGAAAGGGGTAAGTGACTTCACACCATTTTATCGTCCTCAAGTATATGCCCAGGCAGTGAGAATGTGGTTCTGCTTATTTGCATGTGGGCATTTCTCAATGAGCTTGTAGTGGGAGATCCTTCCTGTCACGTATTCCCCTGCAAAATAAACATCCTCTTGTTGAGGCCCGCGTAAGCGTTTCCACGGAACAGACACTAAAGTCCCTTAAGGTGTCCTTTCTTCGCACCCTTCATTCTGGAGGGTGACGTGGCTGTGGGCTGCAGTGGGCGGGCAGGTTAGATCCACAGCAGCGGCTCCGTGTTTCTCATGGGGTTGTTCTCTCTAACCTGGGGATGATGAACTTGTCCCTGTGGTACTGGTAGCTCTTCTGTTTAGACTTATTACCTTCAGTTCTGTATCCCCTTTACAAAAAGGTTCATGCTGTAAACGCGGAACTGGCTTTTGCTACCGGTAGCTGCATTTATCTTTTCTGATGGGAGCTTCTCTCTTGCTTGCAGGTTAGTGCTGTTAACTAAAATAGCAGGGACAGTGGTGGTTTCCTTCGCCGTCTGCTGGCTCCCCTTCTGCACCGACACGGAACAAATCATGCAAGTACTCAGAAGACTCTTTCCAAGAGGCATGCATGTTTTCTTCTCCCCCACCCCACTGTCAGCGCTCTGTATTCTTAGATCCCTTGAGAAACCTTCATCGTGACCTTTAGGATTTCAGGCGGGAGACACCCCACAGAACTCGTAACTTGAGCTGGCTTCTTCGGCAGTCGTTTCTTGCCAGTTATTTAATCCAGTATTTAACCCCAGCTCAGCTGGCATCTTCTAGGATATTATATGGGTGGACAACACTTAGCCCATCATCAAACCCATACTTCAGTCCATGCATTTTTCCACTGAAACAGATTCCACAGTAATTGACAGTGTCAGAAGATGTAACCTTAAAAGTTAACAGCTTCGGTCTCTGTCTTTGCTTCTGCTCGGCTTTTTGCCAACAGGATTTATTATGTTTAAAGAAACTTAGAGATAGTTTGGGTGCAGCCTAGAACTTCCTTTTTGACCCACCTTGTGTTTTCAGTGCAGGTTTCCCCAAAGTTTTAGGCCAGTTCTGCTTTTCCTTCGGCTGTTGACGTTTGCGTGCTGCAGCGTGCCAAGTGCCGCAGCCTGAATCCAGTAAACCGTGTGCCTGATGGCAGCGCCACAGCAGTCTCCCTGGTAAAAGATGCCCATGGAACAGGCAGGGGCCTTCCTTAATTAGGGCAAGAGCCTTAACATCATGCTTTTTGAAGCAGATTCTCAACTTTAACCAATAAAATGAAGCATTGCATTTCCAGGTTTTGCCGTCAGAGGGATTTAAGCAAACACTGACGGGGTTTGATTAAGCTTAAACTTTATTTTAATCTTCTTGAGACACAAATACTGTCACGACTGGCACTTTCTTCTTCAGAACTTAATGCTGATGGACCAAAGGCAGCACGTTACCGAGTTATTTAGAGCGGAAGCGTTCTCACTGTAGTCTCTGCTGTTTAAAAAACCCCAAACAATCCCAAAACCACAGCGACCCTACTCCTTGGGGACTACTGGAATTTATAAAGAAATAGTTTTGCTCCCCACACTTTTTATTCAGTACCAAGTTTAACAAGTCAATCTGTAAACGACAATAACCAATGAATCCGATAGAGCTTAAGGATTTTAGTCTAATATTAGCCCAAATATTTCTGGAGTCGATGAGGGCAGCGCTTGCTGGACGCTAATCTGGATAAAATAAGAAGTCGTCCGCGTAAGCACTGCGCAGTAAATTTACACCGGGGTGCCTGTAACAGGTTCTTTGAATCGGTTCCCACTTAGAGAAGCCGTAACAAATGTGGGTGGCTGTAAAACCGTATTGGCTCTGAGGCGGGCGTCCCGCGAGCTGGCTGGTGCTGCCAAGGGCCTGCTCGCTTGTAATCCCCGGCAGATTTGAAGCGCATTTTCCGTATTGCCTGGGAGCACGTGAGGAAGATGGTTCGGCTGGGGCTGGCTGCCCTCTGGCTGTTATGTCTACACAGCTGTGACTCAAGCAGCTGTTTGGGGATGAGTTTCATGAGCGTGAGAGCTGCCGTTACAGATTTAATGTTGAAAGTGATCCTAGCACAACTGCTAACGTCTTTAGAGTTCTTGATTTATTAGAGGTTAACTCTGTCCTTGCTAGCAGGCGGGACGCAGGGCCAAATCCGTGCAGGTATGGGGTGAAATGGGACGGTCACAGGGTGCCTTCGCATCTGAACCAAGATCCTGACATGCCAGGGTTTCGTCGGGCACCGGGAGTTCCAGAACCTTATCTGTACAAAACGGGTGAAGTCGGATCTGTACAAAACGGGATCTCGTGGGTGAAGTCTCTTGTGCTGAAGAACTATTTCGTGGTTATTTTGGAGCATGTTTAATTGAGTCTCTTGAAACTTCCCATTCCTGAAGATTGGAATGATTTCCAGTACCTTTGAGAAAACGATGTGTATCTGCGAGTGTCTTCGCAGAATCATGGTGAAAACCCAGCGATCCTCCAGCCGCGCTCTGTCACGACACTTGAATGTATTTATCGTTGATTACCCTTTTCTCTTCCTTCCAGGATAAAGTCGCCAATATTTGGTGCAGTCTAAGTGTCCTTATAAAGATAAAGAATATAGTGTCACCTCAGACTCAGCTAAAACTCAGGTAAGACATGACTAAGTGCTCGAGGTAGTCCATCCGCGTCAGCTTTTGCAAGGAATTGTCAGAAGTGGTGTTTAAAATCTTGGAAAAAACGTGTTCTCTCCTATGCTGTACCTTTCCCCCAGTGACAAGGGTTTCCCAGGCACCGTTAGGAATGTTTACGACTGAAAATTTTCCTGCTTGTTTACACAGTGACTGAAGCTACTTGGCTGGTTAAAATGGGGTTAAAACGTGTACGCTTTCCAGAGAATTACCTCTGTGTGTGCTCTCGGGAGTTGGAGGCCACAGTTCTGGCTTTTGAAGAAGTAACAATTCAAGTCCAGCTCTGCAAGGCCTGAGGGATTCATGGAAGTGCTTTATCCCTCTTCCAGAGTGTCGGGGAAGCCCGTTCAGCACTCTGCTCTTGCGACTGAGCCTCCCCCAGTGCTTTTGTACTGAAAGTGGCAGCTGAATTCCTACCTTGCCTAGTTTTCCAGAGCGATTCTTGATACAGTGGAAATATCAGTAGAACCTCATGGAGTTCAACAAGGC